TCTCTCTATCTCACGCTTTTGATGTCCAAATGGTGAAGATAATATCACTTTAAGGTGTTACATAGGCCTTATATAGGCTAATTAAATAACTTAATTAATTTGAGTTAAGGTTAGCTAATTAGAATTAATTATTCTAACTATTTGATTCCGAAACAAAATTCAATCAATCCTACCATAATGTTCTAAAAAATCTAAATAACACATAAACCAAGTCAATTTCATGATTGGATGCCAATAAAGCTTTCAATTCACAAAACAAAATAAAAATACAAATAGATATTCCTACAACAGATAGATATAAACACAAGTAATGCAATACACATGCAATTAATTCAGAATCTCTTCTTAATCACTGATTAGGTACTCTTAATCATGGATTAGTGGCTAATCACAGTTCGGGGTTGTTATAGTCAACTTAATAAGTGACTCAAAGTGAATATATGAACTCAATAGGCTAATATATATTTTCTTTTTTGCCCCTAAAAGATGGTTATGTGCAATGCATGTGACCATTTTCCATCCAAAAACTTAACTCCCATCCACAATTATCCTTATTTGACACAAAAACAAAACTTGGAGGGCAAATATATTCAAATTGAAATAACAGGAACCAAAATGAAACTTGAGAAAAACTATAAGGACCTTTGGTGTAATTTGCCCTAATTTTTATGGGAAATTAAGAAACTTTTAACGATGAAAACTAAGTTAAAGATCTTATTTGTCATAATCAGAGATTACCGGTTTGGGGGCTAAGGTACAAAAGGGGCAAGTCATTAAATGAAAACAACCCTTTTTACCCAATTCGAAGATTGGTCTCCACTAATTCTATATTTTATTATTTTAGCAATTAATTATTCATACAAGTCATTTTAAGCCTAAAACTAAGTGATTTGAATAAAAAATAATATAAAAAAACATATCATTTATTTTAAATTTAAATGAATAAAGTCATATTTTTCATAAAAAGTGATTTTCAATATTTTAAAAAATGGATTTTTAATGATCCATGGCCCTAAACATAAACTAAAATTAACAATATTTACAAAATTATTCAACACAACCAATTTTGCATAGAAAAACCTTTAACTTGATTTATTGAAAAGATAATACAACCAAGAACACACATATGCTATGAAGAACAAGGAGACTTACACGGATATCCACTCAAGTGCCATACATGCATTCATAAAATTAAGTATGATCCTAACATACAACTAATCATGTAAATAATGATCCTAAACCTGGCTTGAGGCTACTAGCATGATGATTATTCACAAAAATGCAAATAAAAAATAAAAAGAGTAAAAATGCTAAAACTACATGATAATCAAAATCGGGTTTAATGTATGATTTCTACATGATTAAATAAGCCTAAATATGCTGCTCTAATGAGAATAATGAAAACATGCAAGGATACGCAAAGAAAGCTAATAAAATAGACAAACTACATGATGAAATGATAAACTAGCATCCTAACTATGATTAACTATTGAAAATAGGTAGAGAATAGGTACGAAATAAATAAAAGATAAGAGTTTACCCACTGGTTTGAATAAACCAAAGCCACGCGAAGAAAATGTGCAAGAAAAATCGAGTTCTCTAGCTTGTAAGCCTCTCTCAAGTAAAGGTTTCAAATTATAATCTAAGTTCCAAGCTTTATATTGTTTTTAAGTGTTTGTAGTCACTATAATGGTAGTATTTTCGAAGCTAAGGCAAGGGGAGAAGAGATGAAGGTGGAGGGCTCTCAAACAAACTCACAAAAACTTCTCCAAAATCTAACCCTTGGAAAAGGAAGAGGGTTCCTTATATAGGCAGAGGGAAAGCTTGAGGAACACCATAGGGCTTCCCATCTCTTTCTCTTGCCGCCTCTCTCCAACATTGCACCAAGATTGTGTTTTCAAAACAAGTTAAACCACGTTTGGAAGTGCGCACGCATAGAGCTTGTGCGCACACACAACTCATGTGCGGACACACAATGCATGTGTATACACACCACTTGTCTCTGTACACGTGTCACCCATGCATACACAAGTGTGGGGTCCCATACCTTTGCTTGCTTATGGCCCAAGTAAGCCCTAATTGCTTCCGATCAATGTTTTTAATACAACCGGCTACTAATTTTGGAAATGTCATTGATAAAAGCACAACTGCGTTTTCCTCTCTCTCTCTCTCTCTTGGGGTCAAAAGGTTAGTTTTTAGCTAAAAACGAGTCCAAGGGTAAAATAGCCATTTTTGTAAAAAGTTATTTTTGGTCCAAAATAGGTTCATACAACAACTCTAAACAATCTCAAATATTCTAAAGATGAAGTAATCACCGTTTCATCATCGGAAGGTTTGCAAGCACTCGAAATCTTAGGATCAGTCAAAATAGGATGTGTACAACTATGTATACAGTAAAATTGCACCATTATGAAAATGCAAATAATCCTTCACTGTCCCACTTAAGGGTGTGCGCGGTGATGTTTGGGTGATATGAGAGTAAAATTATAAATCGAATGGTGGATTGACGGATTGGCAAATTGCGGTTTGAGTGGTTTTAGACGGATTGGAAAATTAAAAAATATTCTAACAGATTATCAAGTCTTTGCATAATATAACACTAATTTGCAAAATATTTTTTATATATGTAACTACTAATTTGTAATAAATCTTGCATATTAAATCTCTCTCACACTCATTTTTACTTTAATATTTCATTATGGGTTAAAAAATATATATGTATTAACTATAGCGGAGAGGAGTGGTTTCGAAGGCTGATTATAAATTTTAAAGTTTAAACCGCGGATAGTGGATAGAGCGGTGCGGATTGATGCATATCGGTGCAATTTTAGTGAATTTGGCGGTATTTTGCACAACCCTAGTCCCACTAATTTGATATTTCCACATATTAATTAGGAAAAATTAGTGAAACATCCTCATCCAACTTTTGGTAGTAAGAGAGATTCGATATGTTTTTTTCTTATAAGTTAAAGTCCTTTGATAATATTATTAGAGAAATTTCAAATTTTTCTATGTTAAAACTTTCTGTGCCAAAATTTTTCCGTGAAAATGTTAAGGGACCTCAATTACTATGAAAATATTGCATGTCATTTATCTTATAAAATCTTAATATTAAGGACCTTAAACTAAAACCACTATTAATTAGTGTCTGATGGCATTATTTAATATTTGTGATAAAAGCTATTTTAAAAATTTACGGAAAAGTTAGTGTTTTTTTTATTCTATTTCTTAGAAATTTTTTTTGTATTAGTTTAAAAATAATTAAATTATCCTTGTTAGTTTAAGGACATATTATTTTTCTCAGATAAAATTACCCTTAGTCTAGTTATAATATTCTATCACCTTTAATTGCTATTACCACATCTCTGGCCACCGACGATAACTTTTCAATAATCACCGTCGGTTGTCGACGATCATTTTTGGTGACTTTCTGCCAAAGTGAAATTTTACTAACTTGGCACACTGATATTTTCTGACGACTCTCCGGTGAACTAAAATTTCATTATACTAAGTTAATGAAATTTAAAAAAAAAATAAAAATCAATTAATTGCTGAAAATTACAAAATCAAAAGTCATTTGAATTTTCACTATCTTAGAAAAGTCAGTGAAATTTCATTGAGCCAAAACAAATTTCACAAAATTACTAGAACTTCACTGATTAAATACAGTCAAAATACACAAAGTTAGCCAACAAAATAAAGTCTGCGAGACTTCATTAACCAAAACCAATGAAATTGTACTAGGATAGTAACACTTCACAGGACTTTGGTCAGAGAAATGTTATTGTTTTTTAGTTTAAGTCAGCAAAATCTCTCTAGTTATAGTTGTTCCATTGATTTTATGCGGAGAAATTTCATAGAGATGAGAGATGGTAAAGAGAGAGTAAACTGAAAAAACATACAAAATAAATAACAACAATCATATTTCTATTAACCAATAACATACAAACACTACAAGAAATTGCACTTTTGGCGACTAAATTTTTAGTTGCCAAAAGTCAGTTTTTAGTCATCGAAAAGTTTTCCTGACTAAATATTTTGGTCGCCCGCTTTGTCGCGGGAAGATTGTCAGGGAAGGTATTGGCGACTAAAAATATTTAGTAGCCGAAAGTCCTAAATTGGCGATTAATTTTTTAGTCACCAAAACTAAAGGTATTAGCGACAAAAAAAATCTTTAGTTGTTGGTGGGCTAAATTGGCGACTAATCTTTTAGTTGCCAAAAGCTTACAATTTAATTTAACATCACATTTTCAGCTACTAAAATTTTTGTCGCCAAAACTTGAATTATCTAGGGCGACCAAAGTTTTAGTCGCGAATATTGTTTTTTTTGTTCATCTAACTTTTTTTATCTACTAAATGTTTAGTTGCCAAAAGTCCAATTTGTTTAGCTACTAAATAGTTTAGTCGCCTAAAGTCTACTTTTTCTGTTTAGCTACTAAAGTCGCCTATCATAAAATTTTTATGTTTTGGCTACTAAATATTTAGTCACCAAAAGTGCTTTTCCTTTTTTTTTTTTTGGCTACTAAATCATTAGTCACCTAAACTCTTTTTTAAATGTCTACTAAATATTTAGTCGCCAAAATATTTGTTTCCATTTAATTCTTTTTAAGCTACTAACTATTTAGTCGCTAAAAATATTTAACTCCATTTTTTGGCTACTAATTGTTTAGTCACCAAAAACATCATTTTTATGGTTTTTTTTTTTTATTTTTTTTAATTAATTAGTTCACAACCTGTATGTATCTCACGCAACCTGTAACAAGTACAAAAAAAAATATAGTATGTATATATTATCACCCATTCCAAAACACGTATTTCACTTACAACCATCCAACAAAAAAGAATACCTTTTAATGTCAATGTACCACCCCCAAAATACTTACTTACGGAGAACACAAAATTACCCACTATTAGGATCTTGATTTCGAAAGCAATTACTTCCATAACATACATGGATATATAGATAATACTGTTTCATCCATTACATCATCACTAAATCTCAAACATGTATATTCATTAAGATATCAAGAGATTTACAAAAGTTCCACATGCGAGTATACATTCAACATTTCTAGAATATGAATCTATAGCATGTGGCAATATAAGTCAAGTGTACATTAATGCCCTCAAGGGTTACAATTCTAAGGCTTAAGCCTGGTTACACAAAAGTGGTTTTCAATTCCATACTTACAAAGCCCTTGGCTTATCCAAAATAATTATAGCAGAAGGGTAAGAGCCTTGTACTCTCAAAACACATTCCACGCATTTAATTTGGTAGAATCACCACATCCTTTCCTGCACAAGATCCTATAGAGTGAGCACAAAGCCCAGTAGAAAAATCTAACAAAGTACATACATGTTATACAATTTCATGAGATGAATGCATATGTCATATCATGCTTGAAATGTATTTCTCATCTTTTGAAAGTCTTGTGCACAATGTAAATTTTTGAAAAATAAAGCTCCAACAATTTCCAATATAGTTTTCAAGGGAGTAATAAATACAACTTAGTTAACCCCTAGGCCACTGTCCAGAAGTAGGCCTAACAAGCTCTGCCTAACCCAACTTTACTGGTCTTTCACCAGAAGGCACATGGTACCTACTCACCACTTTACCGGTCTCTCACCGGAAGGCACGTGGCACCTCCTCACCACTTTACCAGTCTTTCACCGGAAGGCATGTGGTACCTTCTCACCACTTTACCAGTCTTATTATCACATGTATTTACTGCAAAGCCAATCAAATGATCTTGTTTCACAAAGAATTCTTTTCTCAAGCATTAATTGAAAATGCAATTTAAATTTTATTCAACAACAATGTAATGGAAGGACAATGCAATAGGGGTCCATGCATTTTGATATTTCCATTTTCGATGTCTCCACACAATCTTCCATCGTGATCAACAAACCCATATCTCTTATCAATGTAAAATCATAATACAACCCCAAGGGATAATACAATAACCATCACATTTACCATGCAAAACCTACATTATACATATACTTATGTTTTCGAGAATTAGACAACAATTTCTTAACACATGCATTTTCTACATGTAAATCATCATTTTTAACTTGGTCATATCAAGACCAATCAACAACGTGCTACAACAAGAAGCCTTAATATCTACTCTTTCTCATTTTTACCATGGAATTTCTCATACATACACAATATAGAAATTTCTCAATCATAAATCCCTCATAACACTTATTCAACATGAATTTCACAATATATCTACATTTTCCAAAATCCCCAATTTCTAGGGTTTCACCAAAACTGGGTTCTTCTCTATTTTTGAAAGGGTTTTTGCCCAACAACTCACACATACAACCGCATAGTTCAATATCCTTCAAGGCATGGAAAAAAATCTTGAGGAACCCACATTTAAAACCCTTTTGGAGTTCCTAGGCCCAATATCATATGTTTCAACTACAAGGAGAAGCTCTAAATAAGCATAGACTTGTAAAGAAATGTATCAAGAAATCCCTACCTCAAGTTCTTGAAGGAAAGAGAGAAGAAATCCCCAAAATCATCAGTGTTGAAACTCGATCTCCACCGCACAAAACATTGCCCTTGAAGAGTTCTCCAATTTTGATGAAGGGACTAGAGTCAAAACTCCAATAGATTGGAAAAAATCAAGAGTTTATCGTGATGGGTGGAGGTTGTAGAGAGAATGGAGAGGAAAACATATTTTTAAAGAGAGAGAAGGGCAAAAAGTGAGATACACTCAGTCCAAGGAGAAGAAAAGGAGAAAATTTTCGGACCCAGCACACTTCTGCACATATGCACCTTCTTTCGCACATGCGGCGCATGCCTTTCCGCACGTGCGGTCCGTTCCCCTCACCTTCCCCCACACATGCAATTAGAGCAACCTTGCACCTTCGACTGCCTCCCCTTACCGCATGTGCGGCCTCACCTCTGGCACGTGCGACCCCACTTCCGCTCATGCGCCCCAAACCCCCGCATGTGCGGTTCTGCCTTCTGCCCAAAAAATGCACTACTTGAAACCAAGACACCCCTGATCCAATTTCACGCCTTTCAAAACAAGCGAAAGCCAACTCAGAAATAAAATAAGGACAAGAACTTGAAGAAAGTTTTAAGAATAGTGAACCCAAACGGTCGACAAGACCTCAAGTTAATCCCCGACACTCCTAACACGAGTAAATTAATCATGAATAAAAGAAAGACAAGACGGGTTACGTACCCGATCTTCACAGTTAGATTCTATACAAACCAAGTATATATTTAAACTGGAAATAATAATTTCATACAGAACAAATAAGCATACAAAAACAATTTCCTCCATGCACAAAAATATATTTTATAGCGATCCCGGGTTTACCCTTGTTGTACAGTGATCCGGACATGTGTCCGTGGATGATAGTAGTTGATTATTACCTGGTGTACATCCTTTCTTACTTTGTATTTGGGTTATAGGATGTGTTGGGCAGGTTTGTTACAGGTTGGTTGAGTTTAGAAACCAAAACTAGTTGCCCAGATTTTGACCTGTCCGCTCGAGTGGGGGTTTTGGCGCTCAAGCGGGAAGTTCACCCATCCAGTATTTCCTGTGCAGTGTTGGACGCTCGAGCGTGGGATTGGCCGCTCGAGCGGGTTTGTGTGAGTGCCGCTCGAGCGGGGAGTTGGACGCTCGAGCGGGAGACCTGTCTGCAAAAGTTCTGGGAGTGTGCATCCGGAGCTCGAGCGGGGGATTGGCCGCTCGAGCGGGAGTCTGTGAGTGCCGCTCGAGCGGGGAGTTTGACGCTCGAGCGGGGCTACTTTTATATAAATCCGAGATCCGACTTTTGGATCACTTTTTCAAGATCTTTTTTCTCTCTTACTTTTCCAAAAAGCCATTTTCAGTGTTTCTCACTCTAAAACCGGCCCTTCTCTCTTAGATTTGATCTAGTAGGAGTTGTTTGCTCACTTTTGGTCTTTACGAAAGTTGTGTTGATCGTCGAGGGCTACATTTTAATCTGAAAATTTCAGAATTTGATGCATTTTGGTTTTGGTCTTCATCTCCATTGGAGCTCAAACTTTGAGGTAGGGATATCCTACTCCTACAATCATTTTTTGTCTTTAAATTTTAGATTCTCAGGGCTGAGAATCAAGTTTAGGCCCAGGTAACTGAAGCAGGGTCAATTTTTCTAAAAAGAGAGTTCTTTTGGTCGAATCCAGAGGAGTTTTTGGGTGATCCCAAGGAGCCACTGAAGGTTGATGAGTGACTAGAACAAATAGTGAAGACGTTTGAGATGCTCAGCATCGAAGACGGAGGTTTAAGAGTGACCTTGGCATCCTTCCAACTGAAGGGAGACGCGGGTCATTGGTGGAAGTATGCACGAGGGTGCATTGAGGGAACTTGGGAGGCTTTTGTCGACATCTTCCAGGATTTGGGCTTACCTGCTACAATAAGGGAGAAGTTGAGGGAATAATTCTCCAAGTTGGTGCAATTGAACACGCCGATGGCCGAATTTGAGCCCACATTCACCAGTTTGTCGAGGTTTGCACCGGAGTTAGTGGCGACCTAGAAACGCCGTTGTCTGGAGTTTGAGAAGCGGTTAAGGACCGGGCTCATGTTTAGAGTGGTCGGATCCATAATTAGGGATTATGGGCGCCTCGTGGAGGCTGTAGCCTATCTTGAGACTATCATGCATACAGAGGAAGAGAGAATGAGGGGATCCGGGTGGAGTCAGGATAATCAGGGAGACAATAAGAGATAGAGGGGTTCTACAGTTGTCCCAGGGAGCTCAATCGAGGTCCACTTTTCTAGTACCAAGTTCGGGTTCTGGGAAGGGTGGTCAAGAAGACATCACTTGTTTCAAATGTGGTCAGTTGGGCCACAAATCTCCAGCTTGCCCGCAGAGAGGAGGAGGGCAGTGAGCAGCATCGTCTTCGGCTCGTTCTCAAAGCCAGAGTCAAGAGAGAGGCTAGCCTTGTTATCAATGTGGGCAGGTGGGACACCTGAAGAGGTTTTGCCCACAGTTGGGTGGCAGATCTGGTGCGTCTGGTTCAAGGCAAACACAGAGTCACCAGCCTGCAGTGTCAGCATAGGCCTTGAGGGTCAATCAGGGAGCCTCTTCGGCTCAGTCAGTGCATCAGACTTACACTTCGAGGGGTGAGCAGGTTGAGCAGAGACCTACGGGGCGTGTGTATTCTGTTACAGCGCCAGATCTTGTACCTGCTCCTTCAGTAGTGAGAGGTACCTTCTTGTTTTGCAATTCAGTTGCTAATGTGTTGATTGATACGGGTGCATCCCATTCTTTTATCTCGTCTGCGTTTGCATCGATTTTGGGGTTGGAGTTGGCACAGTTAGCATCCCCTATTTGTGTAAAGTCACCTATTGGTGGTGAGGTTATTTTGAAACACGAATGTCGGGGTTATGACATCGAGGTTACAGGTCGTTGATTACTTTTTGCATTTGTATTGCTTGACATGTCTAGTTTTGATATTATTTTAGGTATGGACTGGTTATAGTCATACCAAGTTGTTATAGATTGTTACCGTCAAAGGGTGACTATATGTACCTCGAGCAGTTATTGCTTTTATTTCTTGGGGGACCGGGTGGATAGAGTCTTACCACTAGTATATGATCTGCGTGGGTGGAGTGAACTTAGTTGTCTTCTTACTAGCTTTTTTGAGTAGTGAGTGTGATGAAGTTCGAGTTGCGTTTCCAATGGTGGTTTGTGAATACCCAAATGTCTTTCCCAACGATCTTACTAGTTTACCACCTCACCGAGAGATCGAGTTCTCGATTGATTTAGTGCTTGGCACGGCACCGATTTCTATGGCACCATATCAGTTTGCACCAGCTGAGTTGAGTGAGTTAAAGATTCAACTCCAAGAATTATTAGATAAGGATTTTATTCGCCCTAGTACTTC